CCCCCCGGCGGGCTCCCCCACCGCCCCCCCGGCCACGCGGGGAGGCGGCACGGCCAGCCCGGCGCCCGCCAGCCCCGGCCCTCCCCGGCCCACCGCGCCCCTTCCCACGCGCGATGCCCGGACGCCGCCGCTCTCCACGGGGAAGACGGTCAGCAAGAAAGGTACCCGGGGCCGGCGGGTGGGCAGCCGGGGCTGCACCGCCCGAGCGAGTTTCCAGCCCCGGGTCGCGGGCTTCGCGGAACTGCAGGGCTGCGCACCGAGCGCGCGGGACGCTGCAGGGGCCCGGGCGCCCGGGAAGGCGGCGGCGGCGGCGGCGGCGAGCGCGCGCGCGGGGCAGAGCGCAGGGCTTCCCTTGCGAGCGGTTGGCGCCGGGTCCCGAAAGCCCCGGGGCTCGGGCCACGGGGGGAAAGGAGAGGCGCGCGGTCGCATGTGCCGGAGCGTCTGCCAGCGCTCTCTCAAGGACCGTGTCACCTGGAGACACCCCTACCTGTGGAAGCAGATGCGAGGCTACGATGGAGGGGGTGTCTGAAGGGAAGCGCCTGTGGGCAAAGGCTAGCTGACCCAGGCGGTCCCGACGCCACAGGTAGGAGCCTCTGGGCATGATTCTGGCGAGTGGAAGCCACTCCCTTCCTTTCGCTCCTGGACAGAGGCTCTCCCGGAGACTCCTGGCTCCCGGTGGAAGCTCTGGGGCCGCGGCCTCAATGCTCCGGCCCATAAGGCCGCCTCTGCCTTCGCGGACTGGCAGAAAAGACCCTGCCTTTATCCTTTGGAAAGGAGAAATGAAAGAACAAGCCCAACATTTCAAAAGCAGCGGCTGGAATGCTGGAGCCGCTGCCCCGGCCTGGGAATGAATGAGAAGGAAACCTGGGCCAAATGTCACTTGCGAATGGATGCTTAAGGTCGGGTTGGCCCTCCATTGCAGGGGTCAACTTGTCTCCTTCTGGATGCAGGCGCCCCCGAGACAGATGCTGCCCAAAGGGAATCAGAGGTGCTTCCTCAGCCATTCACACGATATTGTTTTCTCTTTGCAGCGGTCAAAATGCGCGGTGTCTGTGCCTATTCTGAGTGCGGAAATCCATGTTCCCAGCATGGATTCCCTGCCTTGGGAATGGTGTACACAGTGGTGGCCCATTTGCTATGACATTGCTCGGGGATCATTTTGGATGCCCCCCCCCCACCTCCTCCAAGAGGCGAGACCCCTTTATAATACGCTTGCGGAGCACTCAGCCGCCATCCACCCCCATGTTCCACAGCACGCATGCCCTTTGGGGCGCGCATTCTGCAACGGATGGGAAGCCGGCCCCGGGCCCTTCGTGATGCTGAGGTGCCTGGTGTGCAGGGCCGTGGCACACGCCCAGCTAAACAGCGAGGAGCCGACTGCTGTGCTGCGGCAGGTCCCCGACCTTTTCGACCTCTTTCCCCCCGTAGTGCATACGTCCCCCCACCCTTGATGTCGATATTTCCCGTCCTTCCCATGACGCACGCTGTGAGTTCCTCCGTGTGCAGATGTGCTGCGCGATCCTCCCCGTGTGCTGCCCCTGTGCGCTCTCTGTGTGGCTCGTGTGGCTTGCGGTTTGCACGCTGTGCCCAACAGCGCAGGGCCAGCCGTTGCATCGTGTCCCCGCGCTTTGCGCTTCTCCGGGCGTGGCGTGGCGTGTGCTCTGCCACAAGGGTGGGGTCTTCCCCCCGCCCACCAGGCCTGCGCTCTGCGTGTGCCTCCCAGTCCTCTGTGGCAGGGGGTGAGGCGCTGCGCTGCGCTGCGTGGACCGGGACTGTCTGTGGGTGCGTGGCAGGCTGCCGTGGCATCTTGAGACCGGATTGCCTCCTGCATCCTCGGCAATTTTCTGGGCTCTTTGTGGCACTCTGGACGGGCAGCTGCGGTGCGGCCTGGGCCTGAGCGCTGAACATGCTGCATTGCTGAGGGACGCCACTGCTTGCACATCGGTGCGCAAGATGGGGACCCACGCTCAGACCCGCCCGGAGTCCGAGCCATCATCCCTGCCCTCCGAGCGCCGGCTGAGCTCGGCTTCTCCCCTTTCCTCCCCTGCGCCTGCCACAGAGGCTGCATTCCTCGAAAGGCTTCCCCGCGGCAGGCGGCCTCGCCCTCCTCCAGGCTCCCACGCCACGCCTGGTGCTCCAGACACAGGCCGCCTGCTCTGCTCTTCAGCTGTTTGCTCGCGCAGCCGGTGGAGGGAAGCAGCCGAGCCCGATGGAGCCGGGCCAGGCCAGGCCAGGCCAGGCCCGCACAGAGCAGCCACTGTGCGTCCTGCGCACGGCACATGCCTCGCCTGTGGCTGCAGAGCAGCTGGCGGTGGGGAGAGGGGAGAGGGAGCGCATCCCACAGATCATGTGCAACGAGGACTCCTTCGAAGGCCACGGGGCCCCCTGCACATGCGCAGCAGGGGATTCCACGTCCACACAAGCGCTCCGCTGCCACTCGTGCTTTTCGCGTGCTTCTGTGTGCCTGCGAGCACACAAGCCGTGGCACGTCCGGGTGTGCACGCACGGGTTGCACGCTCTTTCCTTTCCTTTAGGGGAGGTGCAACACGCAGGGGTTGGAGGAGAGTGAGGGGAGCCACTCCAGTGTTGCCCCCAAAACATGGGTGCAGGTGTGCGTTGCGTTCATATGCTTCTTGTGCATGCATTGATGGAGATTCGGGGGGAATCACCTGGCAGGCTAAACGGGAAAGCAGGACCTGTGACCGGTCTGGCCTGCGGGCCGGATGCCTTGAGCCCCGTTCCCCTCGGCCTCCTTTGGGTTCCTTCCCAGTACGCAGGTGTTGGACCGGGCAGCCCTCAGGACTGACCTCTCTCGAGTCGCGCACCTGGCCAAGTGCCCCAGAAAAAGGTGGGATGGCCTGGAAAAGGCAAAAGGCAGCCCCCTCCAGGGGTTATAACAGCCCTCCCCAAGCTGGGTCCCCTTGGACTGCACCTCCCATCAGCCCCTAGCCAGCACGGCCAGAGGCTGGCAGGCGTTGCAGCTTAGCACGTGTGGGGGCTTCGGGTTGGGGAGGGCGATCTGCAGCGTGCCTGGCCTCGGGCTAGTGGCCAGTCACCCGAGAGGGCCCCGGCCGTTCCTTTGCTGCGTGGGGGGTGGCTGTCCCAGGACCGCTCTCATCGCACTGCAGCCCCCCTGTGCTGTCCCCTCGGCCCACAGAGGAAAATATGGCCAGCAGCAGGAAGCCTCCACCCGGAAGTGCCCTCAGTCAAAGGAGGGAACAGCTGGGCCCATTCAAAGGCAGCCTTCCCCAAGCCGGGGCCCTCCCAGTGTCCTGGGGATGCAATTCCCAGGCTGTCTGCGGGCCAGACAGACAGATTGCCCTGTGCCAGTCCAGAGGGGAATACACAGATGGAAATCTCAGGTGGGGCTGTAAAGCCTAGGCCGGTTGTTGGAGGGTGATGCCGAAGAGAGAAATTCCACAGTCCATCTTCATGTAATCCCTTTACTAGGCCAACTGAGAGGTCACCCCACAAGTGCTTGTTTGGTTGGTATTATACCAGGGTGGATCGGTTTGCCCGTTTGTTCCCATTATGGTGGGCATGTCGTGAGCAGAGCAGGCCGGAGCTGGGGGTCAGACTAGATGGCCCAGGAGGCCCCTTCTGACTCGCTCTGTTTCTATGTTGCTATTATGGTCAACATAGTAAACTTCATTTTATTGCAGGGGAAGACAATTCACCCTTTCCTCAGGTTTGGCACTCAGTTCAGGTCCTGTATTTAAATTCCATACATAAACTTGCAGGAAATATGCAAACGACTCAGAGAACAGCAATTAGAAAAAGCACGTTGTTATTGACGATGGATCTGATGAGCTCATGCCAGAGTGTATGGTCCCTCCCCATTTTACCCTCACAACCTCCCTGTGAGGTAGGCTAGGCCAAGCGAGGACAGCTCGTCCCTGAGCTCTGTGGCTGTGCGGGGATTTGGACTCAGGTCCACCCCGGCCAGTCCCAGTCTGGCCATCTCACCATTTGGTCCGCGCTTTGCTGGCAGACCAGATGAATCATGTCAGGAGAAACACTGGGATAAGACAAAGGTGGGGGGGGGGCGGCTGGAAGGCGCAGCCCCTCACGGTCACCCAGTCACTCCTCCAGCTCGGAGGGGACGCCAGCCTTGGCAGCGGAGCGGTCCGCTTTAGAGTGGAGGCCTCGGGCAGGATGAGCGACCCCCAAGCCTGGTCCCCAAAGGGAGTCCGAAAAGGCAGGCACCTGGATTGCCCCTCAGGATCGATCCAGATCCAGCAGCCTTCACCCCTGCCAGAGCCGATCAGTGCCTAGACAAGGGTCTTCACTGACCGCTCGGAACCAAGGCACCCCAAATAACTTGGCACAGAACAGGAAAGAGACGTCGTCGCTGGGGAAACTCACCCTGCGCCCCACAGCAGTGCAGAGAACGGGGAGTCCTGGGGTGAGGAGCCCTCCGGCTGCATCAGTCCGCAACTCCCTCCATCCCGATGGGCCATGCTGGCTGAGGATGATGGGGCGGGTGCCAAGTTAAGGGGGGGCAGGTGCAGGCCTCCGATCTCAAACAGGGTTGGGGTTATGCGGCCAGTTCCCCTTCCTAGGGACCTCCACCTTTGTGGCGCCTGCCTTTTGTGCGGTGTCGGCCCCAGTCAGCCCGGCGCCTATTCTGGGTCCGTCCCACTCTTGCCGGGCCCTCGACCCCCTGTGGCCAAGCCGGAGCACCCAATGGGTGTCTCAGCGCCCAGCGGCGCCACGGTGCCGGTCCCCAAGCCGCCTCCCCTCTGCCGAGAGGGTTCGCCCTGCCACCTCCCGCTTCCCCTGCTGCCCGCCCGCCCGCCCGCCGAGCCCAGGGGTGACCAGGCACGCCTCTGCTTTTGCCCTCTCTCCAGCCCCGAAGAAGACTGTCCTCCGTAAAGTCGTCAAGAAGAAGGTCTTGAAGAAGAAAGGCAAGGCTTCCTCCGCAGAAACAGCAGCGGCAAAGCAGGCGTCAGGTATGTACCCCGTCCGCCCGCCTGCCACTCGCACACTCTTCTGGCCTGCAGCTGCAGGCATCCTCCTGCAAGCCGGGAGGCAGCGCTGTGGGGTCGCCTTGGAACTTGGGCGCGCCTCCTGACTGCCCCCTCAGCCAGGCCCCGAGGGGAGCCCCACACGGGCCCTGCAGGGCAGGTCCCCCTCTTCTGGGAGGAGGTGCGTGGCAGAGGCCACGGGTCCCGGTGGCCCCTCAGCTGCAGCCGGGAGCCGAGACATGGATGCGAGCATCACTCGTGGCTGCCCCCATGGCCGCTGCTGGAGGGATCCCGGCTGAGCAGGAGGAACGGTCTGTGAGCTGCCTTGGGTGCCGTCGACCGGATTCTTGCCCCCAGAAAGCCAGCCGCATCCGTGACTTGCCCTGAACGGCTGGAGGAGTCCACGCTCGTGAGAACATCCCAAGGAATACGTAGAAAATGGCAAGTAGCCCCGACAGCCACCCGGCCCCCGATCTGGCAACAGGTGGACAACCAGGGCTCCGTGCTTTCAAGCAGCTGGTGACCTTCATCGTCAATTTACATCGTGCTAAACTCCTGCACTAGCAGTCCCAGGCCCCATAGTAACCCCAAGCAGAGTCCCTGTTCCAGCATGGGTGGCTTTTGTCTCTCTGGCACGGGGGTCAAAGGGTTACGGTCTTGCATTTCAGGGTCATAATTTCAGTAGAGTAGGGAAAAGATCGGCCCTCCCTGCCCGCACCTGGTCGAAGACGGCTTTCTGGGCAAAGGAAGAGGTGGCAGTCCCCAAGGGGCAAGCTGTAAAGGCGAAGGGTTGCCAGAGCAGTGGGTCCTTGGTCTGCCCGATTTTAGCAGACGCAAATGCACCAGACCTGTCCAGACCATGAGGACTAGAGCCCTGGACTCTGACTGGGGCACAGCTTTGTTGTGCCAGGAAGCCCCTGAAAATGCTGACTCCTCTCTTTGGAAAACTCGTTGCCAACATGTGCGTCGCATGCAGCACTGCCAGCTGGCCACAGATCCACGCATTTTCCGAACGAGCCTCCAGCCCAGCACCCACATACCTTGCATAATGTGCAGGTCACACGCTGTGGTGGGGAGTGCGCAGTGCGCACCAGCAGAGAACAGCCATGGCTTTAAGGCCACTGGCAAGAGACGGCCCCAGTTTCCGGCCTTTTTCATAAGAGGCCTTGGATTTCCGAAGACCTGGAGGCTGGTTGGGCTTCCTCGAGTTATCCTTGGCTCACCGGCTCTGTTATTTTTCCTCGGGCATTGCGCTTTCACGTGGCATCCAGAGGACTGCATTTGGCTGTGCTGTTGCCAGGGAAAATTTTGGCAGGATACTCTTTCTTGCTCGCTGGAAAAAAACCCCCAAATTTTGTTGGTGGCTGAGATGGGGAGAGTGTGCCTGCTAAATGAGAAGCGAAGTGAAAGGCGTTGTGCCCACATGCATCCCCCAAAGCAGCCGTGGGAGCCGCAGAGCAGGGAGGGAATTCATGCAGCAGCCACCAATGCTGGATTCGAGCTTCCGTGAAGGATCAAGAAAGGTGATGAACTTCAGAGCCTGTGCGTCTCTGTCTGGCAACAGAATAGCATGCTTGTTGGGTGTAGCTGAACCACATATGTAAACCCATTGGCACTGAGGACTAGCAACATGCACAGAACATGCATTTATCTTTACACATTCCTAGGCACAAGACCAGGAAAGGGAGACTGGGGGACACGCTGGAAGGGACATCTGGGGGAAATGGTGGCCACTTTCTCAGAGGAAGAGGCTACAGCTGGGGTCAGGGCTTGGTTCCACAGAAATGGGGGCGGGATATGTGTTGAAAGCGCAGACTTGTGCTGGCACTTGGATTGGCCCCGCAAGGGTAAAAGGACACGGTGATGAGCACGCTCCCACGGGAGCCACAACCCCAGTGGTACTTCCTATTTCTGCGCAAATGACGAAACTGAAAACAAAGTCCTATTTCCTGGCGTCACTTCCAGGCACCCCACAATTCCAGATACTAATTCTGCTCTGCCACCAAAATGACATCCAGTTTCTATGGGGTGTTCTGTGTTTGGGACTTAACAAGGATACCCACACACACCTAGCCGGATGGAGCAGGCGTTCCTGGCGTGGAGTTGCTGCAACGGGCATCGTTGCCCAATTCTGCGTGTCAGCAGCTTCCAAAAGCGCAGCTGCCCTGCTCTGCCGCCCCCACCCCAAACCTTTTAAAGAAGGCTGGGCAATTGCTAGCCTTGCATAATTGCTCCTCCAGCGGCTGCCCTGGAAAAGGATTAGGGGCCCTGAAAGGGAGACCTGGCCGTCTCCTGCCAGTTTCCTTCCAAAGAGTGTGGTTGGACTTTTCATCCTATTTCTGCCTGAGATCTCTTCTGGAGGGCTGACTCATCCGAGGCTCATGTGGGAAACAGCTGTGTGGTTTTCACCGTCCCTCCACAATGGAAGGCACTCACCCGCAGACATGCATCCCTCTGCTCAGCTTGCTTCTCCTTGTGCCGTCCCCGAGTCCGACTCTCTTCTCCTCTTCCCCATTTTGAGACATCCCATGGACCCATCTTGCCCAACCAGATGTCTTCCAGATGTGTTGGAAGCCCCCCTGCAGCCAGCAGTGTGCTATAGCCGAACCCCGAACCCCTTCCAGCGTGGCTTGTTCACCAGCTAGACTGGCAGCATCGGGAGCAGGCCGAAGGCTGGAAAGCGCGAAGTTTTCAGAAGCTCCAGAATAACTCTTGATGCCAACAGCAGTGGCGGCGGCGGCTGCTGACAACAGGAGAAGGCTGGACCCCTGCAAAGCCTGGGGGCTAGAAGCCAAGCCCTGGATGTTTCTACGATTGCCCTCCAACGGCGCCACCAAAGCATCCCCGTGGCTGTTACTTTGTGCAAGAAAAATGGGGGAATGCCAAACATGAAAACCCCGGGTCTGCTTCGAATGACCGAGTCCTGCACTGGGCAGGAGGCTGGGGCGCACGGCCTCCGGGGCCCCTTCCGCCTCTCCTGCTCCGGGATCCCAAGCAGGGTTTGCATGGTGGTGGTTCTGCTCTTGGCGTCGTGCAGCGAGTTTTTCAGCCTTCAAAGCTGCACAAGACCCAGAAAGTTTCCTGGCACGGAGACACAATAGCGGGGAAGCTCTTCAGCTCTTGCTCTGCACCTCGCCCAGCCTGTCCAGGGCAAGGGTTGGCCAACTCCTGGCAAACTCGCTAGGAAGGGAGGCCCGGATCCTTTTGCACCCGAGGGCTGCCTTGAAGCAGGAACTGGGCAACCTGGGGAAGAAAGTAGGTAGCATATTTTGTTCAGCTGGCTTTGTCTTTTTTCCCGCTCCATCCATCCATCCCACCCACCCCTCCCCTCCTCAGAATGCCCCCCGCTGGGACTCGAGTCTCTGAAGGTGCGGGACTCCCAGCTGCGAGCTTCCAGTATCCAGCGCGATGGCCTCGGGGCCCACCGTGGACGCCTCAACATACAGGTGAAGCCCCTCGTGCGGGACTCCCGCTCGCCAACAGGGGGAGCAGCTGGGGCAGAGCTGCAAGGCGTCTCCATGGGCACCATTGGCCGAAAGCCCTCTCCTCTTGCCCCAGGCCTCTCCAAAGCCCCTGGGGGCGGATAATCGGGGACAGTTTTAGTCAGATCAAGCCCGGCTCATCCACACAAGCCTTTCCCAACATGGCGCCCCTTCGGAGGCCTTGGGCCACAGGTTCTATCAGCCCCAGCCAGCAGGACTAAGGGGCAGTGCCAATGGGACTGACGGTCACAAGCATCTGAATGGTTGACCACCCCGGAGGCCTGACCACCCCGGAGGCCTGGTCACGCCAAGACGCCTTGCTCCAGATTCAAGGATAGCGAGGAGGAAATTGAGCCTCCTATCAAAGAGGCATTTTTAATGTAATTATGAAATCTGGGTGTAGAATATAAGCAAGCAAAGAAAGTTTGCACGCCGCTCCTTGTGGCTGGCTGCACGGGTGCCCCGATGCTCTGCGAATTCCACACTCACCTGCGTGAGCAATGTGTCCATTCTTCTCCCAGTCCAAGAACAAAAGACAGCCGCTCTCGCCGTGGGTTTTATATAAACCGTTTCGGAAGAGGTCAGTGCACATAGGGATCTAACCCGCCTTCTTAAGAGAGGGCAGTGGGAGGGGGTGGCGAAGCTGCTTCAGTCAAGCAAACAGTTTTGTTTCTCACAGCCAAAAGCAGCTCTTCTCTAAGGAACATACTTGGGGAAATGAGCTCCAAGGCAACTCTCTCTGGTGCAATTCCTGAGAAGCTGAATCATTTCAGCCCATTTTGGGGCCTCAGCTTGAGATTTTGCTCAAATCTGGTGCCCTCCAAGCTGCTGGAAACAAGATTTGTTGGAATGACAGGGAGTCCATCACATCTGGAGACTGCCAGGCCAGGGAAAACAGCTTTATGTATTCTGGAGACTGTGAGAAGGTGAACCCAGCAGTGGTCAAGCCCAACCCCACAAACTGGCCAGCGCTGCTTCCTGAGCATCCGTAATGCACAATGTGGTAGATCACACACACTCGCAACACCGTTTGCGGCTTCTCAGAGGAGGCCCATTTATTTAGATCAAGTGTTATTACATAATTTTTTAAGAAGTCGATATGTGAGAGACAAGTATGGAAAGAAACTGCTACCACAGTAGTTACTGGTGAAACCTAACACAACACCTCACGCCTTAGTAATACAGCTTTCTGCTAACAGGTGGGTTACCCCCAGCCTGGTTCACCCCCTTACCTGGAGCCGCTTTTTGTACCTTAGTCCAATGTCACCTGCTCTGCTGCAGTCATAAATGGAAGCTATCCTGTTTTACACTTGCTGACCAGTTATAATATGATGGCCTAACCTCACCAAACACTCCATAGCTCCTGGCAACATGCTATTGCTTAGGTTTTTCACTGGGGCATCTTGTTTATGGCATAATTCTGCAAAACCCCATGAAGTTTCTTCTAGACCTATCTGGGGCTTGATTGGACAACAGTCTTTTTCCCAGATTCAGCTGACCAAAAAAGCTTCTGGAAATCAGCCAAGAGGAAACTTTGATTCCAAAAGGATCTCTGTAGCTGGGCCTCTTGCTGCATTTAGGAAGAGCATTTCCTTAAAAAGCCTTTTTTTTTTTCCTCGTTAGCAGCCCCTTCAAATATAAGACTGGTTCCAAAATGCCCCATTGACCAAGTTATCCTCGCCCGAATCCTGCCTTCAGCCACTGCTTACCGCTGCTTTCTGCCTCCTCTGCTCTAGTCCGGCATCCACGACGGAGACTTCTTTGACGGCGGCTGGTGTGCTGGGTACAAAGACAAGAACCAGTGGCTGGAAATCGACGCCCGGAGGATGACGCGCTTCACTGGAGTCATCACACAAGGGCTGAACTCAATCTGGACGTAAGTGCCAGCGAGATGCGAAGCAAGGCAAAGCCTCTTTAAAAATTCTTTCCCAGAGTCTGCAGCCTTTACGCAAACGTACATATGATTTGTGTGTATGCCGCGGTTTTACGGATGAGACCAGAGACCAGTTGGAATTCTCGAGAGAAAGAGTTTATTTACCTGCCTTCAGGGACCATCACTCGTTAGAGTGCGGTGCTGAGCAGATCAAAGGCAGGATTTTTATACTCTTTTACACGGACGGCTATGCAGGTGCTTGAATAACAGCGAACAATAGGGGAAACCCACTGAGCTACATTTGCACACATTTTTTATGCTAAAGCAAGCAAGCGAGGGTACAAGGGTGTAACGTTATGCTGGAGCGTAGCAACAAAGGCTGCTTTGTGGTCAGCCTTGCGTAGCGTGCACATTCGTTGGGGTTCTTGTTCTTACGCGAACAGGACACTCTGATCATGCTTCTTACCTGTGACGAGCCATGCCCTACCTGCATGTTCGATGAAGAGGGGGGTTACAACAATTTGTTGGTGTTATTCTGCCTCGTTCGCTTTGCTGACATCAGATATGAAACTCTGTCCCCCAATTTCTGGATTCCCCAATTCACTTTTGTGCCCATCTGCTTGCTTGTGAGATATACCTGGATATCGCCCAGTTATTTTTAGGCTGTTTTTGTAGCCAGGAGAACAAAAACCTTGCTTTAAGAAGAATCCAGGATTCTCAGGATGGTCAATTCTGCTCAGTTTCTGTGGGATTATTCCCGCGTTGGAGTCATAGAAACATCTTTCAGCAGTTCACTCGCTCAATGGCCATAAATCCCCTCCTGTATGAGCGCCATACTCATGGCCTTCCCCAGCTAAAGTGGGAGGGCAACGTTTGTGACTCACTGAGGGGCGGAAGGGCGCGCGGCCCCCCTCGCTTCCGAGGCTCCCCTTCGCGCATTCCCCAAGATTCACCCTCCTTTTCTCTTTCTAGCTACGACTGGGTGACTTCCTATAAGGTGCAGTTCAGCAATGACAGCCACAACTGGCAGCCCGGCAAGAACGGGAGCGAAGAGGCGGTGAGTCGCTGTGGGTAGGGGCGCAAAGCCGGCAGCCCCTTGGGACTGGTGGGCGGAGGGCAGGCCCCAAACTGGAAAAAGAGGCAAAGGTTCAGAGGCATCCGCAGAAGCAACCCCCTCCCCATGGTATGAACAAGGGAAGCAGGGCAATTAATTTGGTGATTAATCCTGCAAAGCAGAGGATTCGAGGGATGTGGAGAGTCATTCAGCAACATAGAAGGACATCTTTGGAGCTGTATTTTCCTGCTACGATATCCATCCTGATTGCAGAAAGGGGAGAAATGACAGGGCGTTAGCCGACGCTTGCTTAGGCAGAGAAATGCATGCTGGGAATTGCATGGCTTTTCTCTGTCTAAACTTGCACCGGATTGTGGCCCAAGGAAATTAGCTTCAAGAGCATGTGTGTCCTTGGGGCCCCGATCCAGACTGGCACTGCTTCTCCCACGAAAAGGCGCAAGTCACCCCTAGATCCCAAGAGGAATTGCAACGCAGTGCATGGACCCATATGCCACGTTGCTCTCTGCTTTACCGAGAGACTAAAGCTTGAGCTCATCCTTGACACCCTGCTCCCAACCCATCGGCGCTGTATGCTTCCATTGCAAGATTAATCAACTCAAGCTTTAGTTGATTAATTGGCCAGGCTACGAATTAAGAGTGGGTGTGCTTGGTGTTTTTTAAAGCTATGTTGATGCCATGATATATTTGAAAACATTTGGGGTGGTTTAAACCTCTAACTAACATGGTGTTAGATATGCTGGTACATTTCCCTGGCAGCCATAAGGGATAGAAACGTAAAAAAAAACCTACTGAAAGCTGAGATTCTCAGAATCTCCCCTTCTGTCCGAACGCTGGCATTTGCTCTGAGGCTGGCAAACTTTACAGCCCAAAGAGTTCCGTTTCATTAAGAGCTGCTGCTGCTTGCAGGGCCCTCTCCCATCCTGCCTGGCTCCTGGCTGCCCCTTAAGACGGAGCAAGACAAGGGACCAACTGAGCCGGGGCTTGGCCCCGGCGCCGAGCAACGCCTCCACGCAGGTTTTGGCCCACGAGGATGTGCCAGGCCAACCAAGGAGAGGCCCGCGGCTCCTGTAGCCCCGCCAAGGGAAACCAGGTGCCTCCGACATCTGCGCTCTCTCCCGGCCGGCTCACAGCCTGGAGAGGCTCGGGCGGCCCGCTCATAATGGGGCCTTGATTCCCGCTGGGGCAGCGGCCACAGGCCGACCTGCCGGCCACGGGCATCTTTGCTCAGAGCCGCAGACCTGCAAGCGAAGCCCTCTGCTTCGGGCCATGAATGGGGACGAGGGCAGGTGCGGGGGGAGCGAGGAGGTAGCTGGCAGGTGGCAGAAGCAAAAGGGGGGGTGGGGAGGAGATGATAAAGGCTGCTGGGACACGGTACCCAGGGGCACCGTGCGCCACCCCGGTCGTGAGGCTGAGCCATGTGCCCGGTGGAGTTGATTCCACCTGGGGACCGGGGGGGGGGGGGCACAGAAGGCCCCGCCATCCGCAGAGCGGCTGCGCTCAAGGGCCGTTTGGGGTCGAGGTCGGAGCAGCCCAGTAGGAATGGGAGGGGTGGAAGCCTTCCCAAAACGCCCTCCCCTCGATTGAGTTCGGGCTGCCAGACTGCCAAAGCCATGCTTCCGAGGGGCAAACCCGTAACGACCCCTCGAGCGCAAGGGGTCGCCTGCGCTGACCGAATACTCACCTGGCGGAGAGGAAATCCAGGCTCAGGGGATCTTTCCCACCAGGACAATTGACCAGCTGATGCAGACACTTTCGACTGCCACTCCCATCAGCCCCCGCCAGCATGGCTGACCAGCCCAGACGATGCGAGCTGTTGCCCCCGTCCACTGAAGGACCCGGTCTGGGGGAGTCCAGGCCGCAGGAGGCTTTGCTGGGGGGGGTGGGGCAGCCCGTAGGGGGACACCTGCCGAGTTGCGGTTCTCTGCCGACTTATATGAGGACAACCCCTTCTTCAGGCAAGGGCGATGAAGGACCCCCAGATCCCCGGGTTCAAGGGCAGCAGGGGCCAGCACCAATGTGCGTGGCGCTCTCAGGACCCCCCAAGATCCCCATTCCATCAGCCGTCCACAACACTGCAGATATTGTAAAGGCGGTGCTGGGACAGCCCTGGGGAAGCTCCGGGGAGATGTGCTCCAGGGTGGTGGGGCAAGGGCCACAAAAACCATCTGCCTCTTTTCGATTGCTCTTCTAAGTGCCAGTCTTGAGAGAGGCATGGCAGTCTCTCAGGACTGAGGGGAGGGGAGACCCAAAGCTCCAAACCATCCGCAGCTGCGGGGGGGGGGAGCCAGATGAGGGGGGCATGGCCGGCTGGAGCCCCCCAGTCAGGACGCCAGCGAAACAGAAGCTCCCTGGGCATCGGAGCTCTGGAAGAGCCATTGCAAGCGACAGCAGGCAACCGGACCAAGACCCCGACCTTGCGCAAGGCATCCTCTGTGTTCCACTCGAGCCCCGAGTCCCCCCTCACCCTCGGTCCAGCCCCTGCTCCAGGAAGGCCAGGGGGAATTTGGGGCCCTGGACGCTGCCTTTGCCCGAGCCAGGCCCTCCGTCCATTTAGGCCAGCTTTGTCAACACCGGTTCTGAGTTCTGGCAGCCCTGCGTGGAGCAGCTGCCAGGCGTGGAGGCTCGGACAGTGGGAGCTGCTGCGAGGGGCCCTCCGCGGCAGCGGGAGTCCCACTCCCTCCCCCTGGAGACCCTGCGCCAGCCAGACAGTGAACCCTGCGTGGCGCCCCGCTCTTTCGCTTCCCAGGGAGCCCCGCGGGCTGGGGGCCGCACGCAAATGTGACCCATCAAACCCATTCCTGCAGACATTTCCTGGAAACAAGGACCCCGAGACCCCCGTCCTCAACCTGCTCCCCGTCCCGGTGGTGGCTCGCTACATCCGCATCAACCCTCAGTCGTGGTTTGAGAACGGGACGATATGCCTGCGGGCGGAGATCCTGGGCTGCGTCGTGCCAGGTGGGTCCCTGCGGGCTCAGCCGTGGCCCCCTGCAAATGCGTGGGCCTCGGCAGGCCCCCCGTCCTGCCTGCCCCGCTGCCCACCCCACCAGGGGGCCTGGGCCAGGCTTCTCTGGGGTGACCCAGACGGCACTCAGGGGGGGCTGCACAGTTCAGCATCAGAGCTGGCCCTTGCTGGAAGCTGAGCAAGACCGGATCTGACGCGCTCTTCTTGCTTCCCGTCCAGATCCCAACAACGTCTATTTGTGGAATGATGCACCAGCAACCAAGGATAAATTGGATTTCGGGCACCACAACTACAAGGGAATGAGGAAGGTGGGTCTCCTTAGCCACTTGAGAAAACACGAAGACGGAAACCTGATCCGGAGATGCAGAATTCCAGGATGCTCAGCTGCTTCCTCTCCTCAGAAATGGCCACAGAACGGCCCGTTTTTGACTACCTTCCTGGAATAAGGAGGGAATGGGCCAGGCCACACCTCCCCACTGGCCTGAGCTGCCATCCCTCCCCTGACACCTGCCTGCCACACTCACCTATCCTATCTCCTGAGCTTATCCCTCTTACCTGCCTTTCCTACCTCACCTGGGGAAATGCTCCCGAGGGGTGCGGGTGAGATAAGATTGGCTCCCCTGGAGCACCTGGCGTTCATGCAGGTGTGTGACGTTTCCCCTCCTGCAGCTGATGAAGAAGGTGAACGAGGCGTGCCCCAACATCACGCGGGTGTACAGCATCGGCAAGAGCTACCTGGGCCTGAAAATGTACGTCATGGAGATCTCGGACAACCCCGGGCAGCATGAAGTGGGTGAGTGGCATCAGGCGGGGGGAAGGAGAGGGTGGCCGGAAGGCGTGGCGGGTGTCACGGTGCTGCAGCTAAGCAGGTCTGGGGCTGGCCTGAGCTTGGAGGGGAGCCCAACTGCATGTCACCTCCGTGAGCGAGTTCCACAGTGGGAGAAAGGGGGAACACAGGTATGATGCAGAAGAAAGAAGGGCTTGTGTGGAGGTGATGTTAGAAATGAGCTGTGGAGCAACAGCCATGATTAAGCGTGTCCACCTGTCATCTCCCAGCCCAGGTGGAGTTTCGGGGAGCCTGTACCAATCCCTGTTTTATAAGGTGCACCCAAAACGAGGAATCAGGAGGCCCAAGTGGCTCCCGCTTCAAGAAACAGTGCTCCTGCCTTGGGCTCGCTTCTCACTGGCGTGGGCCACCGGCCTCGACTCCCCTAGCTGGGCCTAGAAGGTGGCAGCAGCACAGAACCGGCACACATCCAAAGCTCGCACGCCAGGGAGAAAAGCTGGGCTGGAGCACACCGTATTTTCTGCGTGCAGAGACTGGCTTGCTCGCTCGCTCGCTCGTTTGCAGGGAGGAGCATTCCATGGAGCGAGGCTCCACCTGCACCAGAAATGGCCCTGCCCGCACCACCTGGGAGCACCTCGGTGAGGGCTGCCCCGTGTGACCCCCGACAGGACCCACCTCCCCTGCTAAGGACAAGGGGTGCCTTCTCCTGGCACACCTCTGCCTTCTGAGCCTAGGCCGATGCTCGAAAGGCGCCCGGCTCCTAGGAAAGGCGGCTAGTAAAGGCCTTTGAAAGGGTTCCGAACAGCGTCTCCTCCCTCTGACAATGTTGCGATGTTTTGTATGTTTGCGTGTTACAATGTTTTGTATACTTGCATGTTGCAATGTTTTGTGTATTTCATGGGGCAGGAGGTGTTGTGTTATTGTCTTAGCTGTTTGTGAGTGACCTGTCTGGAGAGCCCTTACTCGGTCACCGAAAGTCAGGCGACAAGTATAGAAGGTGGATTAGCCACAATAAAACATGGCAAGGGCGAGGAAGGGGAGGGACCTTGGTCATCTCCCAACCAGACCAAGAGACTTTCCCTGGGTCGGAGACCTGCTGACTCAGCGCGGAGCCCAGAGAGGGCCAGTGGCTGAGTCAGCCTGGAAAATATCACGGTTCCCGGGCCGAATTTCAGCCAAGGCTGTTGTCTAGGAATGCGCGGGCGGATCCACGGCAGGCCTCCTTCCGTGCCTGGAATGTGTGTTGTGGGCAGAGCAGCCTGGCTTTGTTTCTCTGCACGGGGTCCATTTTTGCTTCAATCCATTCTTGCAAGGCGGGAGTGAGGACGCCGGGACCCCCCCCCCCGATCCCGTTCTCAGACCTGACTCAGCTCCGAAATACGAGAACTGATAAGAAAGAGGGTATCTCTGAGCACATGGAAAGCACCTTTCTCCCACAGGCAGCCAGAACAGAAACCTGGGACTGGAGGAGAACACCAGGGATTGGGGGGGGGGGTTGCATGAAGGCCGGGGGGAGCCCCCGCAAACCAAGCGCCCCGACGAGGTGCTTCTTGGCCAGTAAGCAGCACCAGGAAGCGCCGGCGGACGAGAGAGGCCCTCCGTCCAGTCCGCCTCCGGTGCCGAGACCACGACAGCCCCGACGGGGCGCGCCCAGCTGGGGGGCCTCCGGCACAGGCTGCTCAGGGTGAGACCGCATGGTTCTGCTTTAATGAATTTAAATGGCTCCTTGCAATCGAAGCCACGGTGACACCCTTGCCCGCCGCGCTGTGGACCTTGAAACCAGCACGAAGGTTTGCAGGCCACCCAGTTTGTATGGGGGGTGATTAGGAGTAGGAGGGGCCCAGTGGTACCTCTGCCCTTCCCCTATGCCGTGGGGCACCCCCCAGGAGAACAGAGCAGGCCTTCCCCAACCCGGCGCCCTCCAGGTGTGCGATGGACAGGTCATGATGGAATTGCCCGCAGACCTCCAGGGAAAGCTCACTTGCGAAAATGCTAGCTGGCCGCAGGGCCTCCTGGAAACCCACTGTGGCTGCCCCCCCCCCCCCCGTGCTGCAGGGGAGCCAGAGTTCCGCTACGTGGCTGGCATGCACGGGAACGAGGTGCTGGGCCGGGAGCTGCTGCTCAACCTGATGGAGTACCTGTGCCACGAGTACAAGCAGGGCAACCCCCGCGTCCGGCGGCTGGTCACGGAGACCCGGATCCACCTGCTGCCCTCCATGAACCCGGACGGCTACGAGACAGCCTACAAGCTGGTGAGGCGGGGGCCGGCTCCGGGGCAGGCGGGCAGGTGGGGGGCCTCCACGGTGGGGGCTGTTCCTGCAGCGATTCGATTCGGAAGAAGGGAGCCGGGGCTCTTCCATTCTCTGCACGGGGAGGGGGCCAGCCTGTCGCTCCTCTCGGGGCCTCTTTACTCATGGCGGGAATGAATTGCCAGGAGTCGCAGGGAAGGCAGAACCGCCTCGCCTCCCCGCGCTTTTATTGGTGAGACCCCCCCCCCCGGGGTCCCCGCACCAACTTATGGCCGCACGCTGCCGGGCAGGGGTCTCCACTGCCAGGTTCAAGCCTCTGGAACATGCGCAGAGTGTTTTATAGACTCTGAGCCACACGGGCCCAGCAGCTGGGCAGTTGGGGGCGGAACAAGGCGAACGCAGCCAGAGAAGGTGCGGGGGCTGCAGGGGGCTCAGAATGCAACGGCGTTTGATTGCAAGAGATTGACATCATGCTCATGGGGTTATTGTGACCTTGGCGTGCAAAACAGGGGGAGTGCAGTGCTGCTCACCTGGCAGCCAGACCGGCTCCTCCGGAGCAGCAAAGCAGCAGCCCTGGCAGCTTCTGGGGGGAGCCTTCAGGTCCCACCTCTTCAAGTAACAGCAAGTGCCAAGCCGTAGCCTGGCTGGGAATTTTTGGGGGTGCTTCCTGAGAAAGGGGTGCAGGCATCTTATCACACAAAGACACCTAAAAGACCCTTTTCTGCCAGGATTTATCTCAACTTTCCCAGCATTCCCAACACAGAGAGGAGAAGGAAAGACGGGGCTTTGGAGACCCCGAGAGGTGCAGAGCGCTGGGAAGGGAGCACAGACAGAGAAGAGCGGGACCCGCTGGGGTGCAGGAGGGCCTTCCCTGGGGGTGGTGTGGGGCATTCAACGGGCAAAACTCTGCCGCTCTCTCTAGCTCCCTCCCACCACGGCCGCTCCCTCGCCCCATCGCCTCCCGATGCCTGGCACAGGTGTGCTTGCTCGGGGGACACTCTCTGGCCGGGGCGATGCCTCCTGTCGCTCCGTTTGCTAACGCAGAAGAATCCTCGGCCTTTCCTCTCCATCCCCGATAGCATCCACACCAGACAGTTCGCAAGACAGGGAGACAGAAGTCAGTCTAGCTCCCCACAGCCAAAGCCTTGAACCCGAGTCAGAAACGGCCGTGGCGTCGCACCCGCCACACGCTCGTGGTTCGAAGGAAGCGATGCCTCCTCTGAAACAAGTTTGTGTGTCCCCGTTGCTTGTGCCTTCAGAGCCTTACCTGGGGCCAGGATGCGCTCCCGGGAGCAGAGGGGCGCGGGGGGCGCGGGGGGGTTTCCGGGAAGGCCTCTGGGCTCAGCTCCCGTGGCGGCTCCTCTCGCCCCCGCAGGGCTCGGAGCTGTCGGGCTGGGCGCTGGGCCGCTGGACCTACGAGGGGTTCGACCTGAACCACAACTTCGCCGACCTCAACACGGCCCTGTGGGATGCGGAGGACAACGAGATGGTGCCCCATCAGTTCCCCAACCACTACATCCCCATTCCGGAGTCGTACACGTACCCCAACGCCACGGTGAGCGAGCGGCCCTCCCCGCAGGCCTCCCGGTCTTGCTCGTCACGCTTCTGCGTATAGGCCACCTTGCTTCCTTTCGAGCATCTCAGGGCGGCGTACGGACCCCCCCTCCTCCCCACAACAACAGCCCTGTGAGGTGGGTTGCCTGAGAGTCTGTGGCTGGCCCAGAGTCACCCGGTGAGCAACATGGCCGAGTGGAGACTTGAACCCGGATCCCGTGAGCCCTGCCCCCACACTTTTAACCGCTGCACCACCGCTCCACCATCTTGCTGATGGTTCCCTGCCACGCTTCTGTACAGTGTTATGTCCCTCCAGTTCACTGGCTCTAGGGATGTCCTGTTCTGCCCCGTCTCTGGGTACATACCGCCTTTATGCAGGCCATCTCACAGCCCATTAACAATATTGGCTTCTGCAAGCTTCAAGTCCTCATGGAGGAGGGTCAAAATGAGACCACACCTATGCGAAGGACTATGGATTTCAATTCCCAGCCAAATGCATCTGTTGTTCCATATTACCATTAATTTTTAAGGCATCTAAGAAATAGTTATGTGACATCATCCCCAGCTAGCGTGATTGGAAGTGATGGGAGTGGTTGTACAAAATATCTAGAGGCCACCAAGTTGAGGAAGGCTGCAGTAGGGTAGGGCAGGCAGAAGGCAGGATTCCCAGAACCCTCTGGCAGTGCAGTCAAGGGCCAGGAATGCTGGGAATGGGGGCCCAAAGCGCTGGAGATCAAGGGAGGGGGAGGGGGGGCATCGAAGGCTGTGCAGTAAATATGGGCTGGGGATCCGAAGGAAGGGAGAGAGGCGGCCGCTTTGTGCAGGGGCTCCGGGGGGCAGTCCCGAGCCGAGGGGGCGGCCACCGAGCAAGAGCGGGCGCACGGGAAGAGGCAGGGCGCCTTCGGGACCTGGGGCTGGAGCAGCGGCAGTGGCAGGCAGGGTCCCTTGGGGTGCGGCGGGGAGCGACGCGGCAAGGGGAAGACCCGGTGGAGGCACCCAGGGCCAGAATCGGCTCCGCCGGGCCAGGAGGTCTCAGCCAGCCCCTCCCGAGGGTCTTGTAGGTCCGGGGGCCGCCCTCCTCCTGGTCCCCGGAAGCGCTCACCCGCACCCCCGCCTCCCGCCGCGACAGGTCGCCCCCGAAACCCGGGCGGTCATCAGCTGGATGCAGCGCTACCCCTTCATGCTGAGCGCCAACCTGCACGGGGGCGAGCTGGTGGTGACCTACCCCTTCGACATGACGCGCACCTACTGGAAGGCCCAGGAGCTCACGCCCACGGCCGACGACGCCGTCTTCCGCTGGCTCGCCACCGTCTACGCTGCCTCCAACCTGGCCATGGTGGACGACGACCGGCGCCTCTGCCACTACGACGACTTCATGAGGTCCGGCAACATCATCAACGGGGCCAACTGGCACACCGTGCCCGGAAGTGAGTGAGCTGGCGGGCCCCGAGCTTCCTGCTGGGCGCGCGTCACCATGACAGCGCCAGGGCAGGACTTGGGGGGAGACGTCCAGGGCACTGCTGGGTGGGAGGGCAGGCACGGCCCCCAGTGCAGCAGGGCTGGCTTCACATGGAGCAGCGACCTGCATGCCCAGCTCCCCACACGGCCGCTTGCCGTCTTCCATATGGGTTAGCATAGAAACAGAGCAGGTCAGAAGGGGCTCCCGGGCCATCTAGTCTGACCCCGGCTCCCGCCGGCTCCACTCAGGACATGCCCACCATGTGCACATCCAGCCTATCTTTGAACATCCTCACCGATGGGGCTCCAACTGCCTCCTGTGGGAGCCCATTCCACACCCTCGGGGTCCTAACTGTCAGGAAGGACTTCCTGGCATCCAAGTTGAACCTGGGTTCCTTGAGCTTGGCTCCAGTTCATTGGATGCTGCATGTAGAGCTATATTCCCCCCGCCTTTTCCTGCAAGGAACCGAGGCGGCTTCCATATTTTGCTTCCCACGTGTTCCAATGCCACTCAACTTACTCATATACACCACCTCAGTTTAAGGTGTGACTCGGTGTCCTGCACCAGCAGGGGGTGGACTCGATGGCCTGCATGGCCCCTTCCAACTCTGCTCTTCTATGATTCTATGACTCTAAGGTATCTCCCCATGCAAACATCTGCATGCAACCATCAACTGGCCTTAACTGAACGGACTTCACACAAGTCCCACCAGAATTTCGCAGCATGTGAACTTTGACATAATCAGGTTGCACCGAAGTATATTTTTCTTCTCTGGCTCCAACTGGGCTTTGCAATTCCAAAAGCAGGCAAGAGCTGAACGAGAGGAGGTTTCTCTGAACTAGGCAAATACCTATTTTGGGATGTGCGTGTGCGTGTGGAAAAGAGAAAAGCAGTGCAGTCCTGGAACAAGGGAGTGGAGAGGGGTGTTTTTTAAGAAATGAAAGAGATGGAGGAGCCAATTTGTTTGACTAATATTTAATGTATTTTTAAAATGTCACCCCACTTTTAAATAGAACTTTCCAAAATGTCTTACCAAAGAGAGAGGGAGAGGGAGAGGGAGAGAGAGAGCCTCAACAAGTCATTAAAATGACAGTTACCAGCAAAATCATCAGGGAGCACTGAAAACTTCCTAAAAGATTGGTCCTAAAGTCAGCTGACATTCCAGGCAAATGGGTGGCTTGCTCTAACAGGCACTCCAAGAGCAAACCAGTCACTCTGACAGACCGAAACACAGAAACATAGAAACAGAGCGAGTCAGAAGGGGCCTCCCGGGCCATCTAGTCTGACCTCCGGCACCAGCCGGCTCCGTTCATGACATGCCCACCATGTGCACGTCCAGCCTATCCTTGAACACCCTCACCGATGGGGCCTCAACCACCTCCCGTGGGAGCCCATTCCACGCCCTCGGGGTCCTGACTGTCAGGAAGTGCTTCCTGGCATCCAAATGCAACCTTGGCTCCCTGAGCTTGGCTCTGTTGGAGCGCGTCCTGCCTTCCTCTGCAGGGGAGGACAGGTCTCTGCCCACCTCTGTGTGACACCCCCTCACATACCTGTATGTCACCAACAGACCCCCTCTGAGTCTCCCCTTCTCCAGGCTGAAGAGTCCCAGTTCCCTCCGTCTCGCCTCATACGGCTTCCCCTGCAAACCGGCCACCAACCTTGTGGCCCTACGCTGCACCGACTCCAACCTGGCTGTATCCCTCTTGTAATGAGGGGCCCAAAACTGAGCACAATCCTCCAGTTGCGGGCGCACCAGAGTCGTGTAGAGTGGCAGTAACACCTCTCTCGCTCTAGAAGCCACGCTTCTGGCTATGCAACCAAGGGTGGCGCTCGCCCTCTTGGCCACCGCATCACACGGCTGGCTCACGTTCAGCCTGCAGTCGACCAGCACCCCGAGGTCCCTTTCGCAAGGGCTGCTCTCCAGCCACTTGTCCCCTGACCGGTACTCATGCCACCCACTGCCGTGCCCCAGGTGCAAGACCCGGCCCTTATCCACATTGAGGGATAGCAGGAGGGATTTTCTTTTGTGGAATGGGCATTTCCGCGGATGAGGCCCCGTCCTGCTGTCTCCAGCCCCCTGGGCCAGTCAGCTGGGCAGACGGGATCAGGTCGCCCACAAGGTGTCTCCCTTCGGGTGAGTCTGCCCCCTGGTGGCCGCCTCTGGTTTTGACGCTCCGTCCGCTCCGTGCACTCGGCAGGTATGAATGATTTCAGCTACCTGCACACGAACTGCTTCGAGATCACAGTCGAGCTGTCCTGCGACAAGTTCCCGCATGAGTCGGAGCTGCCGCAGGAGTGGGAAAACAACAAAGAGTCCTTGCTGCTTTACATGGAGCAGGTAAGGGAGCTGGGCTGGGGAGCGGGGGCTTGGTTGTGGTTGTGGTTCCACCGAAACAAATTCCAGAGTGCAGAACAGTGCAAAGATACGATAGAGCAGAATAGGTGAAAACAACAACATGCCACAATAACAATAGCAAAAACTGTGTCTCGGTGGAACTGTGGCTGGGCAGCTAGGAAGACTTTGTGGGACAAAAATGGCTTCTTCAGGCACCAGAAAAAACACGGTGCCAAAACTTTCCTGACCTCCAGAGGCAGGAATTCCACAGAAATGGGGCCACCACGTGGAAGGCGCTTCTCTGGGTGGAGCCCGGCTTGGCCAAAGGTCCATGTGGACCCTCCAGGGAGATGCCCTCTGGTCACCGCAGGGACCAGGCAGGTGGGCAGGGGACAAGGCACTCTCTCAATACGCCACAAGAAGTCACATTGTGCCTTGACAGAAGTTAATGGACAGGATCAGGATCTTAAAGGGGCCGATGCTGGCAGCAGCGGAAAGATTAGGGACAGGCTGTTGCAGGTGCACACACCTTGAAGACACGCCTGTGCTTTCCATGGCTGCTCTTGCTCATTCCTTATGCAAATGGAACAGCGTACAAGTATCCCAAATAAATAAATAAAAATAAAATAAAGATTCCTTATATGGTATAAGCAAGAACATACCTTGTATAGCCTATCCTTGAAAACCCCAACAGTGAGGGCATTTAAGGACAGGCTGGACGTGCACATGGTGGGCATGTCGTGAGCGGAGCCGGGGGTCAGACTAGATGGCCCGGGAGGCCGCTTCTGACTCGTCCTGTTTCTGTGTTTCTATGGTTTTGCTTATCCAAATGGGCGCTTTCAACAGGATTGAGGGCTGATGGTGGCCCAGGGGGGTTGCTGGGCTCAGTGCCGCTGGGAGTGGGAAGGGCAGTTGCTCCTGGCATGCATTCCCGGGGCGCGCTGGGCTCGGAGGGGCAGCGAGGGGGCTCAGAATGTGGGCCAGTTCCAGGTGTTGTCCCAAGGCCGGGCTCCCCTGGGACTCAGGTAGCCACCCAGGATAGCCAAGATCTGCAGCTATTGGGCGGGGACTTGGGACAGGGAGTTTCTCAGAGACGGATGAGGTGGAGAGGACGCTCTGCACATCGGCACAGCCGGGCGACCCAGGCAGGGGATCGGCACGGAGAGAGGAGGCGTGCTCGGTTCCAGAAGTGTGAGCACGCTTGAGTGCATCCCTGAAAGAAAGAGACCCAAACATACTCATAAGCAGAAGTAAATGCTAGAGTGGATGCAGTGAGCACTCTGTGCATGCTCAGAGACTCATTGGGGGTGTTTGTGCTTCTAGAAAAGGCCCTGGCCAAGAAAGGGCGTTTTGCAAAGAAAGCCCGTGGCTTTGAATGTGTGGCAGAGAGGGGAATCCTGGCGCACGGCAAGTGCTCAGAGATCAGGGCCACCTCGGCTCAAGAACTGGACGTGTTTTAAAGTACACAGGAAACCATGAAACAGACTGGGGTCGATCTGGAAAGGCTCCTGGGAAGGATGGGGCTGCAGCCCGGCTGGGGAACGCAGTGCACAGCCGAGATTGTGTGGTCCTTGGCCCGAAGCGAGCCAAGTTCAGTTCTGGGTTTTGCCCGGCGCCTGGCCCGGTTTTCAATGCCGCGCGTGCAGCCGGGGCCTCACTGGGATGTCCTTGCAGACCCGCCGGGGCATTAAAGGAGTTGTGCGAGACAAAGACACGGAGGAAGGCATTGCGGACGCCATCATTTCGGTGGATGGGATCAATCACGACATCCGAACAGGTACGGGGAAGCCCGGCGATTACGGGCACCGTTGTGCAGCCGGCCTTTTCCCCCAGACCAGCTTGCATCGCCCTATCTGTCTCCCCTCAGCAACAACCCTGTCAGGTAGGCTGGGCTGAGGAGGAGAGTCCGGCCCACATCACGCAGGGAGCTCCTGAGCTGAGCAGGCACTAGAGCCGGATCCCCCAGGTGCCCATTCCAACCTGTCACCCCAACACCACACTGGCTCTCAGTGATCATTCTCCAGGGGTGTATATTAATTTTACCCAGTGCTCGTTCAAATGCTGGGAAACCTCCACCCAGCAACGGGTTCCCTGAGGGAGGTGTGATTTTGGCAAAGGAGGCCAAAGGAGGAAAGATTCTGGGCTCTCGGATGGTTCTGAGCATGGGTGATGCGCTCAGCACATGAACTGACATGAACTTCGAGCAACACGTAGGAGTGCATTTTGGGAGACCGTACCATCTGCTAATTTCCAGCCATGCGGTTGCACAGCTCCTGTTCCCGTTGACGGGATTTGCACAGAAAAACACTTTGGAGGATTGTGCCTAAAGCTGGGACATCAGGTCTCAAAGCAAGGAAAACGGACAGCAGCGCCCACCTTCCTCCGAAGGAGAGGGCCGTTCCCTCCCCAGGGAAGCCAGAAGCAAAGGCCTTCCTGCAGCTTCCGTTTCATCTTGCAATGCTCTTCTCTTACCTTGTGCAAATTTCTCTTGCTAAATTAGCTCACGCGCAGGACAATGGGGTGTCACAGGAGGAACTGTCCGAGGGCCATTGATCAGGACTTTGGGGTGGCCTTTCGCAGTGGTCCAAGCCCTAGGGAATCTTATCCTCCTGTTGCTGTCCATAACGCCCCCGCCCCCGGCCTTTCCTTGTCTCCCCGCAGCCTTTGATGGGGACTACTGGCGCCTGCTGAACCCCGGTGAGTACGAGGTCACGGCTGCCGCAGAGGGTTACCACCCCGTCACCCGGAGCTGCCGCGTCTCCTACGAGGACAACCCCACCATCTGCGACTTCCGCCTGACGAAGACGCCCAAACAGCGGCTGCGGGAGATCTTGGCCAAGGGCGGGAAAGTGCCCAAGGACCTCGCCCTGCGTCTCCGCCACCTGAGGCTGCGCAAGCTCAAGGCCCAGCGCCGGTCCCAGTGAGGGGTCGTCTCTGCGGAAGGAAGAGTTTGCCAGCCCCCCTTCACTTCTCGTCTCTTAGACGCTTCCTTCCTCGTCCCAGATGTTTTAGGTCCTATATATGGAGAGAGGCACGGCTGGCTAACCCACAAGCAACTTCTCGGCTTTGGGGAAAACATGCTATAGGTGTATCAACTCTAGTATTTGTCCAGAGATTCTGCTTCCAGCATCCTGAACACCTCAAGCCCTTAATAGCAGTAGCGTTCGGTGCTGGGTTTTCTCACGTGGCTGGTTTGGAGATCCGCACTCACAACAATCTGAAAACGTAAAAGATGGATGTGTGCCTAGGAACCCGCCAGGAACGGTGCTGGGTTTCTACAAGGACGGCTTTGGGGTCTAAGCGTATCTGTGAATTAATACGTACGCATGTGTGCATGCTCACTCTCCCCGGCCCTTCCCTCAGGCCATGGAGCTGCACCGGTGGAGCGCAGAGAAACTCTCCTCATTGCTTCACATACCAGTTCCCAGCACTGGGAACCGATTCCAGTGGAAGTCCCAGGAAATCCTGGGGGAAAACAAGACACCCAAGCAGTGCGTTTCCAGAAACAACCGAGTTGGCCTTGCTGTGCTCTTGAGGACCAGCCGAGGCTGCCTTCCCTACCCTGGGGCCCTTCAGGTGTGTCAGAGGGCAACCCCAAAATTGCCAGGCACTGGGCCAGTGGCCTAGCATGGCTGGGGATGATAGAGCTGCACTCCAACACACCCGGTGAGATGCAGCTGGTGGAAAGCTGCATGGATGAGGCTGTTCCTCGAAAGCTCACTAGCAGGATCCCATCCTGCCGCCGCTGCCGCCCTGCCCCTGCCACGGCAATTAGCTGTCACCCTGGCCTACAGTTTCTAAGCTCAGCGCGTCACCCATTCTCAAGGGTGTGTCTCCGCATTCCTCATCCTGGAGGTTGGCTTTACACAGTTCCGGCCTCTCCTGGGAATGGTGCAGCTGCCCGGCCTCTTTGTCCCTCTGGGAAACTCTGAGCACCTTCAGAAGCTCCTCCAAGCTTGCTTTGAAACACAGGCAGGTGCACTCTGCGGAACCCCTGGATCAGTTTTGGTCAATGCTTTTCTGCGCTGGCCAAGGGGCTCTCCAGAGCTCCTGGCAGAAGCCTTGCCTGGTCCTACCTAGAAACGCCGGGAGTGAGTCAGAGGCCTTGTGTGTGCAACACGACTGCTCTACAGTTGAGCTGCTGTGCTTGGTCCTTCTCCGCTGAGCATCCCGGCAGAGAGAGGAAATTCTGTCAGTGCACCAGTGAGAAAAAATCCGGGATGGCAGCACCCACTTGCAAGGTTTGGGAGCTCAGGCATGAGCGCGGTTGGCCCCTTCCATGATGTTCCCTCCCTTCTCCCTAGTTTTACCAAACTTCTGCATCACATTTTTAAATGCAAGGGCTTGGGGTGGGGGAGAGGATGTCACAGCACCCAGGCAAACTCATGGCGTGACCCTTGCTCCAACAGGCAGGCCCTGACTGGAGCGTGCCGGGTACGTGGTCCCATCTTCCGGGGCCTGGCATAGGCAGTGCAGAAAGGAGAGCCTGGCGAGTGGGAACTGTTAAGTACGAAAATGCTGGCATTGAGGTGCCCTTGCTAGTCAAGCGGCATTCAGACAAGAGTTTTTCCAAATAAACCTTTTGCTATTTAATCTTCAACCCTGCCTCGTGTTCAGTTGCACATCCTTCTCTGCCTTTCTTGGGGGATAGCGCACGCCGGAGCTTATGCGTTATTTCCAATGTTGCCGTAAGCCACTTTGCGTTGCTTTAGCTTGGGAAGCAGCAAATGAATGCACCTATGGTACTAACGATCGGGCTGCCACCAAGCTGATTAATGATGGCCTGGTCATTACCAAATTTACCAAGATAGGGGATTTTTGCTGGATCAATTGTGCTGGAAAAAATGAACTTACTAGCACCTCCGCCCTCCCCATCCCCCACACCCCACCCCACCCCCGGAAATGCTACAGGAAGAGACTGAGTGGGGCATGCTGAGTGGCGTGCAGGCCACCCAAAACTCAGCATGGGCAAGCTGTGTGGGTGGAGCCCTTCCCCTCACAGAAGGCATATCCTGGATCCAAGCCATTAAAATTGAAAAAATAAGGGTTAAAAAAGAAAGAACCAGGGATTTTTTTAATGTTTCTGTAGATAGGCAAAAAAAAAATCAAGACCATCCTGTCCTGGCCTGCATTCCTCCACAGGAACAGTCCCCTGTACAAACACATATTGGCTGGCATCAGACATGACAATCCACACCCAAGGCCTCTGTATGGGTTGAGCTTGCATTCTTGCTGGAATGTGGGTTATTGGGTTGTCTGAACCCAGCTGCACTAACAAACTGTAGCTTGCTAGCCATGAAGAGCCCATGGTTTGTTGCTGGGTTGCTCCCAGTTAAGCAGCCATAATTTGGTGGTGTAAGAGGTTAAGACAACACAATAACCCACATTTCACCAACAACACATTGCTGTGATAACCCGCATGCAGCCTTTGTTGCAACTCGGTCGTTAATTTCTTTTGCAATTCTGCTCAGTAAAACAGCTTCTTAAATGAGGGTGGAGCATATGAGGAACCAAATAACAAAACGTGTAACTTGCCCTAGAAAGGTGTGCGGGCAGGCACATCCAAATCTACATTTTTTTTCTTTTTAATGTCCCTGTATTAAAAGCAAATAAATGAAGATAAGACTCCGTCCTTTTGCATAAATGAGAAAAAAGTCGTTTGCGCCGTGAAATGCGCGCTATCTCAAAGAGCGTCGCAAAACGCGCTCGCTCTAGCAAAAGGCCCGGGGGCTGTGACGGCCACGCCCCTTCGCCTGCCCGGAGCGGTCCTCCCAGCTGCCATAGATGTGGGCTAGAGTGACTGTACGGCGCTTCCGATCAAGAACTTCCGGTTTCGTGCTCTGTCGCGAGCTAGAAGGAAGGGACGCCGAGAAGCGCGGGGAGGCCGCGGCCAGCCAGGGCAGGCGCCACCCGGGTGCCCCCCTCCAGGCATGAATACGCCGCCAACTCCGTGAAATTGCGGGGTCGAAGCGAGACCCGCAAAGCTCCTCGTGCTGCGTGGCCCGAGCTCTATGGTTCCTACCATAGAGAGGAAGGCCTTCCTCCGTCTTCTGCCCCGCGACGCTGATTCGCTGCTAGTAGGAAGCGCCGACCCAATAGGAGCGGCCTCGCGGAGCAGATCTCGCGGGAGATCGCGCCAGCAGGCGAGGGTTGGCCAAGGCTCCGGAAGTGACGTCTGCCCCAGGCTGGTCGCGTGAGTGCTGGGTCCTGGCTGGTGCTGGTGCTGGTGCTGGTGCTGGTGCTGAAGGTGAGGCGAGGCGGCGTCGGGGGGCCTGCTTTGGGGCGGGGGCCTGGGAAGGGCGCAGCCCCTCCTTCTGTGCTGGCTGCAAGGGCCAGCATTCACCGCCCCGCCCCTCATGCATTGGACTGCAAGGCCCATCATCCCCTGACCGCCCCCCTGTGCTGGACTGCAGCAATCATAGTCTGCAACTGGTGTAAAAAAAGTGGTGTTGGAAGTAGTAGAAATAGAAATCGGTTGTTCTTTGCGTGCTCCGTCAGTTTAGCAATGGCACTGCAGCTCATCTGAGCAGAAGTGAGAGGCAGCAGTTTGGAGGTGGCGGACATCTCGCGAGGGATCGCTTTCCTGCAGTGTGAATGTTGCCTGAGTGTGCAGATTCCGTGAAAAAGCCAGATTCTGAGCTGGGGCTACCAGGAACCAGACTCAGAGTATAACAGGATAAAACCACCTTATGATGCTCTTATAAAAACCAGTGGTGCATCTTCACTGGAAGTAACACATCCAGTCTCAACAATTAACTGGTACAGCTGGAATAGGGATACAAAGAGGCAGCCAAATTGGCTGGAACGTTGTGCTGATGAAGTGAAGAAAGGTGAAAGCATCACACACCATCTAGGCTAGAGCGAAGGTATTCAGGATGGCCAAAACCAAAGGGGATTGTGAGGAGCTCCAAAGGCAGCAGAAGAGTGGGCATCAAAATGGTAAATGCAGTGTGATGAAAGCAAGAAAGAACAACTGGCATTCTTTAGCTTTAAAAGGAGGTAAGGGAAGACATGGTAGAGGTGTTCAAAATGATATATTGTGTGAAGAAGAGGCACCAGTGTTCTCCCTCTCCCATAATACTAGGACTCAGGGACTTCCCATAAAGCTAAACGATGGAAGAGTTAGGACAGATAAAAGGAAGGCCTTCTTTACACAGCATAAACTACAGAATCCACTGCTACAAGAAGTAGTTAGCTCCACCGGTTTGCACAGACAAATGCACCAACGGCTGCTGTTTTTGATGGCTCTATGCTACCTCTGTTATTGGAAGCAGTCATACTGTTGCTGGGAAGCTTGGACAGGAGGGGACTGTTGTACTCATATCCTGGTTGAGAGGATTTGGCGCCATGGAGAAACTAGGTTGACGGATGCATCCTTCCTGCCTCTGGAAAAGTCCAGTCCTCCTCCTCCCATGCTTAAGATTAAAGAGGAAGGGCGGAAGGTGGTTGCTGCCCTTAAGAAGCAGTCTTAAGCATCAGAGCCCAGTGTGATCTTGGAGATGAGATGGCCTCACCCCTTCTCAGTTGGAGGGTGAGGAGAGCCCTGGCAACTGCAGATCGATGACCACTACTCCTGCCAGCCCCAGTCTGTGCTCCCCCTCCCTCTTGCAGCACGTGAAGGAAGTGAAAGTTACACTCTCGACTGCTTGCCCAGCAATCTGCTTAGAAAGATAGCGAAGGCCCTTCCCAGTTCTGCATGCACAGACACAACCCATTTCTTCTCCTCTGGTAACAACCTTCTCTCTCTCTTTGTCCAACGGCTCTAGTATTCTCCCGCCAACAAACGCTCAGCTTGCTGCTGCTGTTTGTCCATCTCTGCCCTGGGCATGATGGTGACTTACCACATTCGGGAGTACCGTCCTGAGGACTATGAGACGGTGCGTGACTTGTTTGCCACAGGGATGAGTGAGTACGTGCCCGCCTTGTGTGTCCACGTGCTGAAGCAGCCTTGGCTGGTCCTGGTCCTGGCCTGCACCTTCTGCCTGCTGCTTACCAGCTCCAGGTCACTCCTCCTGCCCATCCTGGCAGTCACTCTGCTGCTGGCCATGGGCCGCCAACTGCTGGGCTACATCTGGTCCAGGTATATCGACCACTGCCTGCAGGAGGATCTGCTTGACATCCAGGGCACCTACCTGGCTGGCAAAGGCTCCTGCTTCTGGGTGGCCGAAGCGGATGAATGTGTGGTGGCCATCGTGGGTGCCAGGCCTGCCGAGGAACGCCGGGGAGAGCTCATGCTGAAGCGCATGTCTGTCCGGAAGGATTATCGCGGCCTCGGCATCGCCAAAGCCCTCTGCAGGACTGTGATCGCCTTTGCCCGGGAGTGCGGCTACCAGTCGGTGGTGCTGAACACTCTCATGGTGCAACACGAGGCCCGTGCGATGTACGAGGACGTTGGCTTTCGCGTGTATCATCGCTACGTCCTGCCCACCATCTATGGCAGGTTGGCCAGGTGCACGGTTTCCAAGTATCGCTATGATATCCCTTCAGTGGACTGAAGAGGGAAACGGTGGCGGCTGTCCGTGGTGGCCTGTGGGATTCGGCATCTCATCACATTGGTCCATTGGGCAAGCGATTCCTTTGGGGAATGAAGAGAAGGGGAAGTGGCAGCGCTGATGCTGACCGAAGGGTCGTCTCCACTTCTGTACTCTGAGCATTATTTTTTCCGGTTGTCAGAGGGCCTTTGCAGGCCCCCAAAGTATTTTAGACACGAAGGAAACCAAGGTGTCTCTTCTTTCTCCTCGCATGGGTTTGCAGGGTCGTGGAAACCCTGATTTGGATGCAGCTTGCACAGTTCTGTTTACATTGGTGCCATGAGGAGGCTGCTTCCCCAGTCACGGACATTCTCCCTTGACCTGCCGGCCCTTCTGGACTCTCACAAGCCGCTCTTGCCTTGCTTCCTGAAAGAGCAGCTCCTGATAAACGTGGCAAGCTCCTGGGCTGGGAGCCAGCGGGCCAGCAGGACTTTCCACTGCGGTTGCCAAGGGTCCTTTTTCTGCCTGGTGAGACAGGCTGAGTACACCCAGAGGCCTTTTCATCACATCGCCTTGGTGCAGACAGTCCCTCTTGTCTTCTGGGGGCATGCAGCCCATTTTGGGGTGCATTAGATCGAATGCACAGGCCTTTTAGTAGGGAAGTGTTTAGTAGGGAGATGACACCTGTCGGTCGCTGCTGGGTGGAAACACCCTCCCCGGGGCTCCTTCCCCTCGTGAGTCCGCCTTGTCACCGCCGCTAGCCGCTCCTGCTTCTCGTTCTGCCTCCCCACATTGCTCCCCTTGCGTGCTTGGCAGGCAGAGGCGCTGGCGTGTGCTTTTCCCCCATCTCACTGCCACCACTGCCTGGGCCAGAGCAGGCAGCAGGGAAACAAGCAGGTTGTCAAGGAGCAGGTCTGCGGAGCCCTTGGAGCAGGCCTTGGCAGGTGTCCAGCCCTGCCTACGCTTGATGCTGGCCCTAAGGTGGGAAAATCAACGGGATACCTGGGCTCAGATTTCCCGGTTATTCTTTGGACAATTTCTGTATATTTGGGGAGAAGGAGGTGCTGCCACGTGCTCCTAGTGGATTGTGCTCTTTTTTCATTTCTCTGCGATGGTTCGCTTGGGGCACAGTGCTCCGTCAGGGTGTGAACTGGTACTCAGAAATGGAGAAATAAAGAAGCTACTAATCTGCTGGAGGGTTGCTTGTCTTCATGTTGGTTTCTGTTGCGATGCCCTTGTTTTGAGTATTGTTAAGCAGCGGGGCGGGGCAGGGAAGAAGTGTTCCAAAAACGGGATTGTGAGAGGCTCCAAAAGGATCTCTCCAAGCTGGGAAAAGGGGCATCAAAGCGGCACATGCAGTGCAGCGTTAGCAAGCGTAAAGCGACGCTCTTTGAGTGTAAGGGATCTCGGCTTGCAGTGGCAGACCAAGAAAGGGAGTCTGGGGTCGTAGTAGGCAGCGCGAGTAAAAACGTCCACTCCATGGGTGGCTGCAGTGAAAAAAGCAAGCATTATTTTGAAAAGAACTGAAAGCAAAACTGCTGGCATCATACTGGCTTTTAAAAACGGGTGGAGGAACCACACTTAGAATGTGGTGTACAGTTCTGGTCACCACACCTGAGAAAGGGTGCCGTAGACTTGGAAGAAGTGAGGCACGGGGCTTGCGGCAGTCCAGAGCAGCTCCTTCCCAAGGAAAGTTTTGAAGATCCGGGATTGTTCAGCTTAAAAAAGGAGCAGAGATAACAGTGTACAGAACGATACGCGGTTGGACAGGAAGAGGGTTTGTCTCCTGGATCCATCCCCTGAAGCTGATTGGTGGGAGAGTGAAAGGGACTCTTTCTTCACACAGGTAATAGTTGAGCTCTGCCAGGGGCAAGGAAGGCCAGCCATCTGGAGGGCTTATAAGGGGACGGAACAAATTCTTGAAGGAGAAGGCTATCCATGGCTCCTGGCCCTGTGGTTATATGCTCCAGTATTCCCCTGCATGCCATTTGCTGGAGAGCACGGGCGGGGGATGCTGCCCCACTCCCGTCCTGCTTGTGGGTTTCGTGGGAGCAGCTGGATGGCTACTGCGTGAAGAGAATCCTGGGCTGGACCTGATCCAGCAGCCTTTTTAGGAAAACTGTGCATCCTGCTTTGGGCTCCGTGAAGGAAAGGTGTGATATAGAAGTAATGATTAAAGAAGCGGCTGTCATGGGGAACTTAAATTGAATCGTTGATTGAAACCGCCTGCTGTTGCTGATTTAAACTGCCCTGATTTAAATCAATCCACCGGCGGAAGCAGAAGCCAGTGATTTGATGGGAATCCTGTTTGTTTAAAGTTATCAGTAAAGTACGAAACCTGCCATAAATACTCCAGTGGATGTCCATTCTGTCTGGCACCTCTGTATTGTCTATGGCTTTCATCCACCATGTTCTTAATGGCCCCTGGCTCCATTCTGTGCTTTCTATAGAACCCTCCAGGAAGAGGCAGCGCTTAATCTCTCCAATCCGGAAGTCTTCCTCCCAGATGCGAAAGGACTTAGCTGCAGGCGTGGGGTGTCGCTGGCCTACCTTACACAATGGAGGGCATTCTCCAGTGGCAGAGCAGAGCTGGCCAAGGCCATCCCGATGGACCTGCTTGTTGTGGGGGAACGCTCCGCACTGGGGAAACCCAGCATTACTGCCAAACTGGAAACTCGCCCCTCACCGCTAGCTCCCACCACTGCTGTCTAGCCCTCGCTCAGACATTTTTCTCAGCTACGGACATGCACAATTTTATGATCAAACAGCAAGCACAACTCTTTGGCAACGATCAGCAAAACCATCGCAAGACTTGCCGTCGCGCTTTTGATTCCAAGCCCTTAGTTGCAATATTTTTTTGAGCATCAGCTGTAGGTCTCCAGCCAAGTGTTGGTCCAGTTCCTCTGGTCCCTGGAAAGCTGAGCTGCTCAAGGTCTGTCTGCCTTGTCTTGGCGGAGGCCGGAACCACTGGGGAAAGATACTTCTGGGAAGACTCCTTCGTTTCTTTTGAAGCTGGACATTAATGAGAACCACAGCACAGGCTGGGTGCCTGTTTCAGGACAACGCGTTGTGGGGATTTCGAGACAGAGCTGTCTTCACTCTATAGTTTCTTGGGGCTCACAATTGTACCCTGAAATGACCAAAGAGCTTTCAGGTCGCTCATGGGGCCACCGTTTGCCTGGGGACAGAGCAGTTCACTTTCTGCTGGTAGAGGAGGGTCCTAGCTGAGCTCAGGAATCGGCTGAGAGCAGGATCAATACGTGCTTTGCAGTGTGAACCCAGGCCTGGAGTCCTGGCACTTCATCGCTGTGTTCTTAGGTATGCGTCTTCCAGCCCTGATCAAGCAGACTTTTCTTCTAATATCGTTTGTTTTAGTCGCTGAGTCATATCCGACCCATCACGACCCCATGGGCAACATTCCTCCAGGCTCTCCGGTCCTCCATCCCTCAGAGTCCACCCAAGCCCTCACCCACCACCGCAGTGACCCCATCCAGCCACCTCATCCTCTGCCACCCCCTTCTCCTTTTGCTGTCCATCATTCCCAGCATCAGGCTCTTCTCCAGGGAGTCCTCCCTTCTCATTAGGTGGCCAAAGTATAGTCTTCTGATATACTTTCACATAAACTCACTTACCTGGTTTGATGGAATGATAAAGTTCACCAGATTCTCTAGGAAATGCAACACTTGCCTATGAGTGAAAATGTTTCACATGTTTTGCTCAGGCTTTTTAGTAATTTAATATAATTTCATCCGTGGGACGCCTTGACGAAACACATTAGCTGGAGAAGACAAGAGGCCATTCGGTTCCTTTTCTCCATATCTTGCACCATCTGAGGAACACATTTAATTACAGCTACATAGAGGTAGCCTGTGTTTAATTGCTAGGATGTTACATGCATTTTATACAAATTTATGTCCATATATTGTAAAAAGGAAAAAAAGCTAGACAAAGCTTAAGATTCAGACTTACGCGACCATTGCCCTCACTGCCTGTTCTTTTGTTTTGTTTTGTTTTGTTTTTTGAGTGTCTGTTTTTTAGAACGAATGCCAACATATTAATGAAACCGCTGCCAGATCTTGTTGGGATCTAATTTTAGGATACTCAAATGGCTTGAAAAATTATATACTTTACTATCTCACACCTTGTCAAGCCCTGAACTGGCCAGGTAGAGATCATTCCTGTTACAACATAACTCTGATGCTATGGAAGCTTTTGTTGAGATTAGTATCAAATCAAGTCTTTACTAATAAACAACAGGCCCGTGAAACTGATCCTGCGTGGGCCGCAGTCGCTGGTTGGATCGCGAGTGCAAAGCAATAAAAGGATGACGTTTTATCCGGGTGCCCCACGGATGGGATGGCTAGCGGGAGTCGAGTCGGAACTGCCGCAGCGAAGGTGCCCACGGAGGTTTAGCACCGAGAGAGGCAGCACTGCTTCCAGATGCAACAGCAGTTCATGTGGAAGCAGTTTTTGGCCATGGATATAATGGCCAGGATGGGCAAGAGCCGGGCCAATGTGCTGCCCACAAACCCTGAGGGATTTGCAGTGCATATATCCAGGCAGGACGTGTTGAGCATCTTTGCCCTGTTTGTAGCCACTTAGGCGGAAAAGGCATGATCAAAAAGATCAAATTATTATGCTGTGGTGCCAAACCTCAGAGGAGCTGGATGATCTTTTGGGTTCCCAGCCCAAAGAAGACTTGGATAATTATGAATGATTTAGCGATCCTGTGAGGGCCAGGTTTGAGCTGCCTGCTGGACATGGTTGTCTGCGCGTCCGTCAAACCACCTAATGATTGAGGTTTGCCAGGCAGGTTGGAGAAGTATGGCAAAGCCTGGTGCCTTCAGGGAAGCAGTTTGCCAGTTTGGTGTTCATGGAACAGTTAATTCTGGGCCTGCCAGAGCCCTCAGCCATCCTCATGAAGGATCAACAACCACCCACTCTGGGAGGCAGCCCTGCTGGGGTTGAAAGGAGCCTATTCTGACTAATCTGGAAGTAATCCAAATCCAAATTTTAGGGCAAATTTTAGCCCTTCCCAGGGTTCTTCTGCTGCTCTGATGAGAGCTGAAGTGGGACTCCCTCTTTCAGGGCTTAGATATACCTGGTGGTCATAAGATATTGGAAAAGGAGTAAGTATTTGAGTTCCAGTGACAGCTTTCAACTTTCTAAAGACTCTAGGCCAATGTTGGCGAACCTCTTAGAGACCGAGTGCCCAAACTGCAACCCAAAACCCACTTATCCATCCCAAAGTGCCAGCACTACACTAAAACGTGAAAACAGCCAGTCCAAGCAAATATATATATATCCTTGGCACTGACCAGATATGCTAAAGTTTGGACGAGTTGCGACCAATGAGTCGCAGCATGTGACATCATCGCCTGGCGCCGTTACTCCTTTCCGAGCAAGCGCATGGCCCCTGGGCGCGCTATTATCCGATGCTCGGCTGCTGGGGCAACTTGGCTCACATGCTGACAGAGAGGGCTCTGCATGCCCGCTGTGGCACATGTACCATAGGTTTGCCACCACTGGCCTGACACTACCCTGGTGCACTCCCCTAACCCTAAGATAGGGGTAAAATAAAATTGAAAGAGGCAATTTTGAAAAAGCCTTCCTTGAGCAGCTTTATCTGCACAGCTCATCATTTCTGCCCATTCTAAACATATTCCAACCATCAAAATCATGCCAGGACACTTCATTTTTCTAACTCTAACCCTGTGATGGCAAACCTTTTAGAGACCGAGTGCCCAAACTGCAACCCAAAACCCACTTATTTATTGCAAAGTGCCAACACTGTAATAAAACCTGAAGACTGAGGTTTTCGTTTAGAAAAAACACCTCACATCCAGTCCAAGCAAATATATATATATATATATCTTTGGCAGCGCACTGACCGGCCATGCGAAAGCTCGGACGAGTTGTGGCTAATGAGTTGCGGCATGTGACATCATTGCCTGGCACCGCTACTCCTTTCCACACATGCGCATGGCCCCTATGTGCGCCGTTATCCGATGTTCGGCTGCTGGGGCGACTTGGCTCGTGTGCTGACAGAGGGGGCTCACTGGTTCGCCACCACTGCTCTAGGCGCTCAGACTTTCTCAATGCTATCATCCAAAGATATACTACTCCGGATTATCTTTTGGGGTCTCGGCTGATAATGCTCAGCTTAGGGAATGGATCTATGCTTCAAACACATTGCTAGATTGATCTTTAATTTTAAAATATAAAGTAGCTCCTTGGTACAAATTAATCAAATTTTATGACTTTAGATCTAGCTGTTGAGACAATATTCCCAGTTATAAGCCCAGAGAGTCCTTCACTGCTTTGCCTTTGGAAACCATGCAAACACCCCTTTTGGTGGGTCTTTATTCTCACACTCCAATAGAGCAAGATGTGCTTGCAGGTCCTCCTGTAGCAGGGAATCTTCCTGTCCTTTATAGAGCTCCCAGAGATACTTTTTTAGCTGGAATTTTATCTGCCGTTGTTGCATACTTGGAATCCGAGAAGATTGTTTTTATGTGATCACATAACGCTGCTTCCATGTCCTGTAGAGCATCGCTGTTTGCTTTGGCAGCTATGAAGATTAGATGGATGGTGGCGTCCCGGGGGTAGCTAATTGAGAGCAAGTAAACTCGTTTTCATTTTACTTGTCTAATTATGTTTTCAGTTTTAACATCTATTATTAACAAATGTCCCAAATGTTTCACTACGTCTTTGTAAAATTTGTAATGGCCTGTGGTTAAATACAATAACTCGTCACTTGACAACAGAGGGATTACAGCGCTCTCGCGAGTGCCAGAGGAGGTCCGCCTGCTGGGCCAAACAGGGAGTGGGCAGGGTGCAGTGGCTAAGGGTCTGCGACTTCGGCGATCAGTGCTCACCTGGCCTGGAAGGTCGCTGCGTGACACTGGGGCACGTGCACCATCTGCCCAGCCTCCCTCACAGGGTCGCTGTGAAGACAAAAGGGATCAAGAGCACTGCCATGGGCTCCTTGCCCAGGAAGAACAGCGGGTTCAAACGTAGCCATACCCGTAGAATAATGAAAGCACTGCCTCCTCCTTGGAACGGACCTTCCGCCAACCCCCAGGCTGCCGTTCTGTGCAGGACGGGGAGTCCCAGCCTTTCACGGTCCCGGGACAGAAAGTCTGAGAACCCTCCAGACTTGATTCACATGCGGTGATGGGCTTTACTGTGTCCCCTAATGCGTCACGGCAAATGGGGATGCCCAGCCGTGCCCCTGACACCCCGTCTTTTCCCCAGGCCGGTGGGACTGTGACTCCATCATGGGCGAGTACCGCATCCGCGAGTACGAGGACCGAGACTACGAGGCGGTGCGCACCATGTTCTCGCAGGGGATCAAGGAGCACGTTTCCGCTGCCTTCCGCCATGCCCTCAGCTGCCTCCAGACACACGTGCTGCTGGCTGTGGGTTTCCTCGTGGCCTATGCGATCGCCGGATCCCTCCTCTTCTCCCTTGGACTTCTGGCCGCCCTTCTGGTCGTGGGCTGGATTTATATAAAGTTCCTCTACACAAATTATGTCGCCGAAGCCCTTGCCGGAGACATGCAGAACATCCGGCAGACCTACCTGGAGCCCAAGGACTGCTGCTTCTGGGTGGTGGAGTCCGGCAAGGAAGCGGTGGGAATGGTCGCCGCCGTCCATCCGGAGGACCCAGCTCAGCGGGGCAGTGCCCTGGAGCTGAAGCGCATGTCCGTGGAGAAGGCGCACCGCGGGCGCGGGCTCTCCAAGGCTCTCACCTGGACGGTCCTCCGCTTTGCCCGGGAGCGGGGGTACAAGGAAGTGGTGCTGTGCACCTCGATGGCGCAGCTCACAGCCCAGCGGGTGTACGAGGGCCTGGGCTTCCGCAGAGTCCGGGTGGTCTGCCCGTCTCTCATAACGAAGCTGGTGGGATTCCACATTTACTGCTACTGCTATGAATTCCCAGGGTCCCGCTGACTCCTCCGCCAGGCGGCGTGCCCTTCCCACGGCGTTGTCCTTCGGGTTGCCTCATGCCCGGAGGGGAATCCCATCTCCTCTGACCAACGGCGCTGCCGGCCCTTTCGCCCCAGCAGAAGACTTCCCTCTGCTCCTCGGATTTCGCAGCATGTAGTAACGTTTTAATTTGTTCTGGGACTTTAATTGTTGAGTGCTTAAGATTGGGAGCACCTATGATATTTTGCACTTTAAAGATTTAATCTTCTGTGAACTGCCCGGAGAACTTTACATAGTTGTCAGATGGTATACAGATGTAAAAGTAACAACAATAAAAACACTAACAACCCTCCGTTGGTTCAACTGGGGAGAGTTTTTCCCTGAGCGTCACTGGCCTGCATGAAGGGCCTGCCAGAGCGATCCCCGTTTGGGCAGCCTCTTCCCTGCATATTTTGCCTAGAGAAATTTATCCTCCTTTGTGCATTTATGGATAATGGTACCCCAGATCTGACAGTCGAGGTTCCCAATAGACTTTTGCTTCCACTGCCTGTGCCTGCCCCTGTGCACAGGTACGAAGATGCTTCCACCTGTCCTGGACACCTGCAGGCCCAGACACACACTTAAGCCAAGAGCTTTGGGGCATTCAGATGAGACGGTGAATGTTCCTAAAAGGACCGGGGGGTGCCCTTGCCTCTATACACTAGCAGTGCTAGTTGGGCTACTGGAAGAAAACTCTTGTGCCTTTCAGGCCAGCTTTATAGCCTTGATCGTTCGCAGAACAGTCGAGTCGGAAGGGGGCAGGAGGCCATGGGGTCCGAACCCGTTATTGCAGGACACTACCTTACACCATCCCAATGTCTAGTCTAAATCTGGCCTCTTGTAAGTCCATTATTCCACATCCTGCACTCTGGAATGAATGCGAAGGGATCTTGTCCATCCTTTCTGTGACACCTTCCAGGTTCCATGATGAGCGCGGTCCTGTCACCCCTCATGCTTTCTTCTCTTCTCGAGGCTGAACATGCCTGGTTCTCCCAGTCTTACCTCACAGGGCTTTGCCACCAGTCCCTGAATCCTCCTTGTTGCCCTCCTCTGTACTCTTTCTAATTTTTCTGCATCTTTTCGAAACTCAGGTGCCCAGGTGAGTACTCCAGGTGAGGTTGACTAGTGAGTATAGAGGAACTAGTATTTCATGTGGTTTGGAAATGATGCTTCCGCTTTGCTTTTTTGTTTTTGTTTTGTTTTGAGACTAGTCAAGTGACGCAGTGGGAGTGGAGAAAGAACAAAGAAACCTGTAACTGCCTGTGATCAATTAAGTATAAGTACCACTGCATTCGGACCAGCCCAAAGTGATGCTTCTGTTAATGCAGCCCAAAACAGTGTTTGCCCTTTTCGTCGCTGCATCACGTTGTCAGCTCACGTTTAGCTTGTGATCTACAACCCCAAAATCCTTCTCGTTTGCAGTCTCATTGAGCCAATTATTCCCCACCTTTATTTATTTATTATTTATTTATTAAAACGTTTTTATGCCGCCCCATTCGCCGAAACCTCGGGGCGGCTTACAGCATTAAGTTAAAAAAATAAAAACATTAAATTATAACATTAAATTAAAATGTTTGTAAAATACAAACATTAAGTTAAAATGCAAAAAATAACAATATAACCTTGTGGCTGCGCATTTGGTTTCTTTTCCCCAGGTGCAGAACTTGGCCTTTGTCCCTCTTGGATTTCATTCTGTTGTTCTCTGCCTAGTATTCTAACCTATCAAGATCACCCTGTATCTCGTCTCTGTCTTCCAGGGTATTTGCTACTCCTCCCAACTTGCTGTCATCTGTAAATTTAATTATCTTTCCTTGTACTTCATCTAAATCATTAATGAAATGTGAAAGACTACCAATCCCAGGACAGACCTCTGTGCCCTCCCATCTGTCACCTCTCCCCAGTTTGGGAAGGTGTCATCATGAGCGCTCTGAGGCCAGTTTGCAGCCAGTTGCGGCTCCACCTAACGGTTGCACTTTCTAGCTCACTTTTAGCTAGTTTGGTCATCAGGATGCCGTGGGGCACTTTGTCAAAGGCTTTGCTCAAGTCCAGCTACATCATGTGCACAGCATTCCCACAGTCCATCGGGGAGGTTGCCTGGCCAAAGGATGAAATCACCTTAGTCTGGCAGGATTTGTTCTTGAGAAACCCATGTTGGCTTCTAGCAATTGCTGCGTGGTCTTCAAGGTGTTTGCAGACTGTTGGTTGCATGAGGTGCTCCAGAATTTTCCAGGGTTTGATGTCAGTCTAACTGGACAACAGTTCCCAGGTTCATCTTTTTTCCTTTCTTTTGGATGGGAACAGAATTAGTTCTCCTTCACTCATCTGGCACATCTCCTGGCTTCCATGAATTCTCCAAGATGGTAGCTAATGGTTGTGAAAGTTCTTCCTCTAGAACCATGCCCTGTTTTACGACTGGGACAAAGCTCATTGGGCCCTGGAGATTTGAACATATTTAGCCCAATTAGAAAATCTTTGAGCGTTTGCCTATCAATCTTGGGCTCCTTCAGTCTGTACTGCACCTTCTTTTGGGAGAAGACTGAGCCAGAGTAGGAATTGAGCATGTCTGCCTTTTCTTTGTCATCTGTCATCACCGTTCCATCCATGGCTAATAGCTGAACTCCCTTCTCTTTCATCTGTCTCTTGCTTTGGACATATTTGAAGACGACTGCCATCGCTAGCTCCCCTCTGGAGCCTCAGTTCCTTCATTGCTTTAGCCTTCCTGATGTCACTCCTGCAATTCCTTGTTAGTTGCTTATATTCTTCCATTGTGTCCTGGTCTTCCTTGCACCTTCTATGGATGTCTTTTTAGTTTTCAGATCATCTCTTAGCTTGTTGTGAAGCTACATGGGCTTCCTCTGTTGTCCGCTACACTTTTTCCTTGTTGGAATTGTTTGTAATTGTGCCTTAGGCGTTTTTTAAAGATATCCCACCCTCATTTGGCCTCCTTTCCCCTTTAGAGTGGCTTGCCATGGGAGTTTATCATCATCTTGAATTTGTTAAAATTGGCTTTATTTTATTGGTCCAGGGCACATGTTTGGCTACATTTAGTTTTTGCTGCATTTATTATTGAAAATTCAACTCTGACATGGTCACTTTCGCCCAGAGGTCCCGTAGCGGTTATTTTGTCCATTGTGTCTTCCCTGTTGGTTAGATCAGGTAAAGTAAAGCTGTACCCCTCATTTCTATTTCTACTTTCTGCGGGACAAAGTTTCCAGTGACATATAGAATCACAGAATCATAGAATAGTAGAGTTGGAAGGGCCCAGGGGGCCATCGGGTCCAGCCCCCTGCTGTTGCAGGACACCAAGTCACACCACCCCACTCGGAGGGCTGTCCAGTTCCTTTCCGAATGTCTCTAGCATGGAAGAGCCCCCCACCTCTCCAGGCAGCTGGTCCCACTGTCCTATTGCTCTGACAGTGAGGAAGCTTTTCCTGATGCCCAGCCTGAATCTGGGTTGCCGCAACTTGAATTGATCCGTGTCCTACACTCTGGCACCAGCAAGAAGAGATCTTGACCTTCCTCTGTTAGGAATCTCTTAGAGGGACTGTGTTTGGCAGAGTGAGTCTCCACAGGTATGAGGGAAACTGAAGTCCCCCATAATGATGACATCGTGCCCCCTTGAAATACTGGCACATCATTTTTTGAAAGTTTGACCTTAATTGGTAGGGCATGACTTCAATGACTATATTCCTTTTCCTATTCAGATTAATCCAAACACACTTGATGGGAATACTGGTCTCTTTTTCCTGTATTTCTTTGCAAAGGTACTTACCTTTAACATAAAGTGCAATTCCACCTCCATGTCTGTTACTTCTGTTCTCCTCGAGCAGGTTGGATTTTGCAATTCTTAAATTCCATTCGTGGGAGTCGCCCCACCAGGCTTCAGTTATGCCTGTCAGGGCGTATGTGCCCCCATATGCGAAGAGTTCCAGTTTGTGTTACTTGTTTTCCCATCCTCTGGGCACTGGTGCGTGGACCTCCAGGGCCACCTGAATTATTATTATTATTATTATTATTATTATTATTATTATTATTATTATTATTATTATTACATTTCTATGCCGCCCCTTGCCGAAACCTCGGGGCGGCTTACAACACAATAAAGTACATTGAAATACAATAGACCATAATAAATTACCATTAAATACAAAAATACAAAAAATACACTGAGTTACAAATATAAAATTAAAATTATCAGTATAAAATAAGTAAATAAAAATATAGGAGGAGAAAAGAGAAGGAAGAAGAAGTTGCCCTGGCCAGATCATATGTTTTAACAATTAAAATGATGTTTAAATAAAAAGGTCTTTACCTGGCGCCGAAAAACCAGTAACGACGGTGCCAGGCGGACCTCTTTGGGGAGTGAATTCCATAGGTTGGGCGCCACCACAGAGAAAGCCCTCCTCCGGGTACTTACTCTCCTAATTTCTTTCATGGAGGGTTCCCGGAGAAGGGACTCTCCCGCAGATCTCAAAGGGCGGCCGGGCATATACGGACGTAAGCGCTCGTTCAGGTAGCCAGGACCCAAGCCGTTTAGGGCTTTGTAGGTCATAATCAACACCTTGAATTGGGCCCGGGCTTCAATGGGAAGCCAGTGAAGCTGACGGAGGACTGGAGTCATGTGAGCATAACGCCCCGTCCCCGTCAGCAACCTGGCAGCTCTATTTTGCACCAATTGAAGTGTTCGGACTGTCTTCAGGGGAAGCCCCACGTAAAGCGCGTTACAGAAGTCTAGGCGGGAAGTCACCAGCGCGTGTGTCACCGTCGCCAGGCATAATCCTCTAGCGTCTTTCCTACATATTCTGGGAGACTAGTGTTAGGCCCAGCTAGAATGCCACTCACTACACTACAAATTTTTTGGCTCTGGCCTCTGGGCAGAGCAGCAGAGCAGCAGAGGCACAGGCTGGGAGAGAGGGCTGAGTGACCAGGGGACCGGCGAAGGCAAGGCAGGAGCTGGGCAGGGGAGCCGGGGCAGGAGCAGCGGAGAGGAAGGGAGTCGCCCCTTGGCTGCGTGCCTTGGCTGCGGCCTGGGCTGTCCGGGGACTCCCTTCCCTGAGACACAGAGGTTTGATGGTTTGTTTGTGCTGTGCTGTGCTGTGCTGTGCTTGGTTTTTCTTCCAAGTTAAATTTAAGTGTATTTTATCCTTGTGTGTGTGTGCGAGTGGGTTTTCGTCTGGGAGAACTGGGCGAGTGAGGGGAACTGCAGGACAAACACGGCGGGGGACCAAGGTCAGGTCTCGGAAGGGATCCCGATGGCAGGCCAGGAGGTGGCCTTGGCGGGAGTCACGGGTGTTGCTGCTGCTGCGAGAGCTG